CACAAACCAAAGCTAGTGTACAGCGCAATTGTAAAATGAGCCATATCCTATGGGGGCTCAATTTGGGCCAAGGCTGGGATCTCAGGTGAAGTCCCCGAACGAATAATAAAGCCTATCTGAATTGTCCAACAAAGATGCCTCAATATTGTTGCGGGAGCTTATAATCCGATCAGTAGCAGGGCCCTTTAACACGATATTGAGTAACATTATCCTCACTTTGACGGGGATTCCCAATCGCTTTCGCGGTCTGTATCATCTTCATCTCTCAACACATCCCCATATCACCACTATTATGAAGCTAACCGCCATCAGATTAGATGGTAGGGTCGATTCTCTTCTCTAACCAACTCTTGATCATGGAGGAAATGCCATCCGATGAGTTTCCGGAGAGTACCCAGCACCCGATACAGAGATGGCGAAATTGGATCAAGTCGGCCACAAATGTTACAAAGGTAGGAGATATAGATAGATAAGCTCACCTCCTATGGTCTCCATGTCAAGGCCTCTTTTTTTTTAATTCATATTGTATTCAACTATTGAGCTATGACATTAATGTCAAGGCCTCGCCTGGCTGGGCCCGAAGGTTTTTGGAGACTTTTACCCGCTAACGCAGTTTGCATTGCTACCATGTTTTTGGGTAGAAGGTTCCGTGGAAAAAGGTGGCCGAATTCCACAGGTAAATACTGAGCTGAATGGCTGTTCACCATGGGCAACTTATCAATGATCTTTGAAGTAACATGAGAGGCAAGGAACACTGTACAAGGTGTGGCCTAGGTCAGAGAGGAGCCCAATGTGCTAGATAGTCAATGACTCGAGTAGTACAATAAACAAAAACACGCACACACATGCAGAGTATACTGAGCGATCAGTCCGGAACCACTGGAAGGTGAAGATTTCGTCTTTGTCGTCCAACACTACTGATGCTTGATGACCGATTTCCGCTATTTTCTGGGAATAAGGCAGCTAGTTATTTGGTTTTATAGGAAACCAAACTTTAAGATTCATGTAAAAAAGAGACTTCAACTAGCTTATAGGGCTCTGCAAAGGGTGAAACAGATCAACTGTAGAAAGCAAAGAGCATTTATATTGAACATTGTATATCTATAGCTCAACAATGAAGAACCAAGTTCTATATACTAAGCTAGATATATATACAGACTCATTGTATTCTTAGTTTGTCCCTCTGAGGTCAGTTCATTTCTAAATGATTCCAGTTGCTAATCCAAGTATATCATTTGTAGCAGCCTCTCCGCAGCTCAGCCTCAGTCTTATTCACATGGAGACTTTTCTAAAGCATTCGTTGGTGGTTCTAGTATATTCTGCAGGTATTCTTGGGCCGGCCAAATTCCTGGTGGTTGTATGCCAGTACTTACCGGCACTGGCTACGAGAAATTACCGGCTTTGTAGCCGTTACAAAGGCTTACCTTTTCATGCCTTGAGACAACTTTACCTCAGCTGTGTCTTGCTTGCGCTAGAATATTTTTCAGTACTTTGGTTTCAAAAAAGAGAGACAGGAAGATTATGTGCCAAATACCAAAGGCTCTGGAGCCAGGCGCTGAATATAATCACCGGGGCTTATCATAACAGCCTAATCAAAGCCCTGGAAGTAGAAACAGCCATTCTCCTTACCAAACTTCGACTACAGAAACAGACCACCTACTATGCCCTTCGACTGTTGAAACTACAGCCTTCCTATTCAGTACAAGCAAAATTATTTATTCCAATCATGAATGAGCCGTCTCTGGTTACAGAGCTGGAACTAGATATCTTTGAGTATATGAATAATTCATCAAGTCAATTAACTAGGATAGGCTAGATATTACGGCCTTTTACTCACCATAAGAATCTCGAACAAATCGATACAAGCTGGGTGTGATGGCTTATGAGTCGACCAGTCCTGTAGCTTTCGATGGCCATCGAAGGCAACCTATATGTATTATCACTCCGAAGATTATCAGCAGACTAAAACCGATACGAAATCGTCACTGAAGAAACGTAAAAGACATTGCCAAGAGTACCGCGAGCGTTAACCGTGTGGCAGAATAAGTCTTTAGTTAGTTTAATTGCCACTATAAACGTAGGCTAGGTTCAGATACTTCTGAATATGTATAAGTAGCACGAGAGACTTGCATCCAATTCGCTCTCCCATAGATGAATTGCAGCTTTACCTTTCAATCTACAAATTCCCATTTGCCTTCTACATTCGAACTGTGGCAAAATCGAAACTTTAATACGAGAGAGAGTGTGTGTGTGTGAGAGTAGATGAACGACAAACTTCTTCTAGCATCAAGGGACGGGACGTTACCAACGTTGGATAAGACAGTATTAGTACAGTTCCAGAGTTAACACAACATCGAAGTGTAGAATAATTGAGATGTTGAGGGGAATTTTACCACATTAGTTTCCTGCTATGTAAATAATATAGTTAGTCAACACCTGTGTAGGCCTATAAGGCGCCAAATCGGGCTAAATGAAATCAAATTCAAACAGCACCAAATATTTTTGATTTTTAATTTTTGGATACCCCCTTATTCTTCTTCTTCCCCCCTCTCGGCCTCGTCTCGATTACTGACAAAATTGTGGTTAAGCTTCTGGCATTCTTATCATACCACCTGTATAGAAAAAGCATTCCAAGGCCAAAATAGAAAACATGAGAGGCCACCCAAGGACTTTCACTCAGACACCGGGCCATACCCGAGCTCTAAAATGCGTAGATATAGTCCAGGCCACAGGTGAAGGGAAGAAAAAAGCCGATCCCGTCGTCAACGAGCCCGATACCGTTATGATCGGGTCAGTTGAAATTGTTGAGGAATTTTTGAACCAATCTCAATCCCCTGCGAGACTGGAGGACCATTTAAATCCTGACCGACACGGCCAAACCCGTTGCAGAAGCAGGATGTCCGCCCAAGCTTCGACCACTGCTCGAGGCCGAAGAACAATCTCGCCGCCTTAACAGCGGCAAATCTGGTACTCTGATCCGCTGCCCTCTCAGGCGTCGGAGCAACACTCATCCCTTTGACCAACGCGTCGCCATTGCACCATGTATGCCAACGAGATGGGCTATTGTGGCACGAAGCGGACTCCGACAAAAAGCAGTCCCAATTATGAAAGCTGTGCCGCAAGCTGTGGCTCTAGCCTCAAAGAAAGACGCGCCGAGGGCGAAAGTAGAAAAACAACTATTCATTCGCCTTGCAAGCGACCATTCGTGGCGCAAACTGCCCACAATTTGCGCGAGATTCCAAATGGTGGCGCGCTGAAGTGTACCTGGGATGAAATCAGCGCCATTCAACGAATGCGGGCCGTTTTTGCCAGGATGGCAAAGAACGAAGAAACGAGACGATATATCAAGACATAAGTATTGAATGAGTGTTTTCATACTATCACTATACTCTCCTTGTCATCGGACAAGACCTGACTCTTACGTTTTTCGCATTGTTAAAGCTAATCACTTCAGACATATATTATCATCATCACTAATAAAATCTGCTCTACAATCAAAGCTCTTGGCTGAATAGTAGCTTGAATCTGTTATAAAATGGTTGACAGCTACAGCGACAGCGGTTCAAATTTTACAAATATCACCGAACAAACGCCGGGCAAAAGCCTAGATTTCCGAACCTCGGCTCTCGCAACAAGAAATCTAATATCCCCCATGTTGGGAGCGGTGGAAGAGTTAAGACTGATGACAGAACCGAGCTATAAGAACAAAATGATGACTATACTAATACCATTTAGTATTCATCACGGAGATTATATTAAGCTTTTTAAAGAGAAGGTGTTTTGATGATCTAGCATGTTTAATCTTAAAAACAGCTCAGTAGTAATGCAGCGGGAATGAAGGAATAAAGTTGGGATAGAGACAAGGCGTCGTGCTGGACAGAATGGGGAACTTCTTGCAAGTCCAACTTCTTCTCCGAGTGAAGTGTTCATAAATAGCGCAACGGCCACTCACGTCAGCGGGTGGGCTATTCTCAAAACCTGTCAGTGGTGTCCCCTACGAACCTCCAGCTCTCACTGTAGAGTCTGTAGAGCCGAGATTGAGTGACAAAGTCCTCACTTCGATGGGAATTCCCAATCGCTTTCGCGGTCTGTATCGTCTTCATCCCTCAACGCATTCCCCTATCACCATTATCATGAAGCTAACCAAGACCAGATCATATAGTAAGGTCGAAGCTCTTCTCATCATCAACCCTTGATCATGGAGGAGAAGCCATCCGATGAGTTTCCGGAGCGTACCCAGCACCCGATACGGCGATGGTGGATGGGATCAAGTTGGCCTCGAATATTACAAAGAAGGCAAATACAGATGAATATGCGCACCTCATGTGGCTTCGATGTCTAGGCCTCGCCTGGCTGGAGCTGCAGGTTTTTTGAGACTTTCTTCCGACCACGCAGTTTCCATTGCTACCATTTTTATGTATTTTTTTGGGTAGAAGGTTCCATGGAAAAGGTGGCTGAATTCGACGGGTAAATACTGAGCTGAATGGCTGATCACCATGGGCAATATATCAATGATGTTTCAAGTAACATGAGAGGCAAGGAGCACTGTACAAGGTGTGGCCTGGGTCAGAGAAGAGCCCAATGTGCTAGATAGTCAATGACTCAAGTAGTACAATAAACAGATAGCCTCATCAGCGAGTACGGAGCCAAAGACGTGAGCAAGAACATAATCATCCTCGCAAGTTCTACTTGTGATGTAATTTATGGATAAATGGAGGTTAAATTTTTGAGGGCTATTAGTTGTAAACTCAACTATATATGGCCCGGCCTAAACCTGAACGATGCGGTAATTAGCTTGGATGATGCAAAGCAGGTCTATTACAGCCCTTAGCCATCAGATCATCTCAAGGTCTTAAAGTGTAAGACAGCTGTTGTTTGCCGTACAGCGTTGTGAACGGACCCCGAAGATACTATTCGAATAAACATAAACTCATACTATTGCGTCGCAAAACGTCTTCCTATCCAACCCTAGATTACTTATGTGCCAGTCTTTGTACAAATCATATCACTGGTGCCTCAAAGTTGTCTCTTCGCAGTTTCATAAGTGCACTTTGCTTGTGTGGAAAGGTGACTTCTCGTTCTTTTAAAAAACCAGTGTCTTGCAAGTGAGAAATAAACCTAAAAGCTGTTAGTGGTAGCACATCATTTGAAGGCATATTATGGTAAGTAGGTGTGGACATACTTCACATTGTCTATCCTTGGTTCAAGAACGGTACAGCCGGTTCTAATGTCATCAGTAAATGCCCAGTGTGCAAGTGCTGTCAACCAGCACTGCACTCGATTTTTTCCTCTAAATTCATTTTCGCCGACTAGAACATGAAAGCCCCTATCCCAATCACCTAAACTTCCATCACCAATATTCCGACCGAGAACGTCTTCCTTAGCCCAGTAAATCTCGAAATATCCAAAAGGTTTTTCATCCCATAGACCAATTACTGGGAATGAATGGCGTGACTCGAGGCTTTTACGTAAAAAAGCTTCTTGCTTAGAAATTGGCCCGTCACAGCCCCAGAACTTGGCGACACGAGGGATGTTCATCCAGTTGTGTAGAAGCTGAAGATCTGTTAATTTAGTAGGATGAGTATTTTCGACATGGGGCGTGAGACTGCTACCATCAAGAGAAAAATTTGAAAAATGTCCAGAGAGAGTAAAAGGAACATGGTTTAAGTGAGGGTGAGTGGAGGATAGTGGGGAGAGTGCAGGTAGCGAGTTATTTGCGTGATGAGATGGAGTGAAGACGTGTGAAGATGCCTGGGAAGTCGGACCATTGGTAGTAACCGGTTTTTCTGAGAGTGATGCCGTCCTAAATGTTAAATACTGGCCTACGCTGGGGATATATCTGGAATAGAAGACTTCGCCCTGACTGGGCGGTTTAGGCCTTAACGGATGCCGTACTCCGTCTGTGATGACATATTGAAGTGGTGCAGGAGGGTAGTAGTTCAAAAAGTGGACTTCATTATTAGTAGAAGGTCCAGTGATGAATGGTGAGATGATCCCAGGGCTAGGATGTCTAAAATATAGCTCTCCAGAATCTCGATTGGTAGATGTAGAATTCTTATGATCGCCCCAAACTGGCGAGCCAGGGCGACTTCCATAAGGGGAGCCAACGAATATAGAAGCTGGTCCAGAGAGGGTAAATATAAAAAGCTTCATAGGTAACTGCCAAAACGCGCGCCGTGACGTGAAAAGGTTGACAGGATCCTGTATTGCATTATCCGATAGTTTGACGCCAACAGATGAATCCTCTGACATTACTAAGCCCATGCGCTCCAGCTTTTGGACTAGTCCTCTTCCTCTTAAGACACCTTCACTCTTGATGTTAATGCGCCATTCTCCTTGCGGTTTTCCAGACTCAGGCGTGCTCTTAGAAGCCTCATCACACATGAGGCGTGATGGTTCTTTCTGGTGAAAATACCAGTAGAGTGAAGCCCAAAGCATCATAGCTGTCTGCCGCACATGACTAGTGGGTGCCTGAAAATCATTACTTGATGGATTCGAGATCGATGATATAAATAAGTAGTCTTGTTGGAGGGTAGGCTGTCTATATGGAAAGATATGGCGAGTTCTTTTTTCCTGTCGACCTCTTATCTCTTCATCGCTCTCGTCTGAGCTATCCTCGCTCCGAGCGTATTCTGTCTGCAGGATAACTGTCCATCCGGCTGGAAAAACATTACTGTGAAGGCTGATATCATTTGACTTAAAAAAAAAGCCACCGAAGACTGGTAGAACCGTCAGTCTTTGACCGTTCGGTAGAAATAGGTTGCGGGTATCTGTTGATTTGCTCGATAAGTTTGTTGTATTCGATCGGCCGTATTTACTGGGACATGCGTCTACGGCTACGCTTTCAGGCGAATGTGCCGACGTCGGCTTCATGTCGCGCAAGTGGACGGCGAGTAAAAAATACGGCGCAAGTTCCAAATGCCAGTTCTAGGGGCAAAACTGTTAAAGTTAACAGGAGTTTAAGCATACTGGGTGTCGGAATTTCTCGGATTGATCACATTCCCCAACACCTTAATAGCGCGTTTGTGATGTACTGCTGGACGTTTCGAATATTAGATTTGACTCACTTCGGCTCGGATTATTAGATAATGCGAATCCCACCATCCACGTCCACCTTCACATTGAGACCCACTCCCTTGCCCATGTAAATGATCCAGGACGAAAGTGGCATCTGTTGTCCATGCTTTGTTGCAATTCAAATTAAATGCCGCCGTCTGAAGCTATCAGCTCGGATAGCTATCCGTCGCTCCGCCTCCAATCAGCTCCCTTAACCTTCCTCGCCGCAGACCATGCTACGCATTGCGTGAATAACACGGAAAAATACGGATTATCTCCTTCCATCAAATGGCAAGTATCAGACTTTCTCTCGTGGCTATGCAGATAATCTTGATGATTACTTAAGGCTTTTATCGTGCAACCTGAGTCGAAATATCCAGCACATAGGCCACCTCTGACCCAGGCCACACCCTGTAGATAGCTCCCATACTATTTTGTTACGAAAAAAGAGAATAATGTTGCTTATCACATGCTGAACCTTAAATTTCAAAATTAATCAGACTTGCATCTATCGATTATCTCGAACATTGACTTAACTTATCCCCCAATCGCGCGGCTAGCTGAGACGGGTTTTGTGAGAAGTTGGATTCTGTCCGAAAAATCAGCTAATTCAAGAGATTACAAGGCCTATCTGGAATAGAGACTAATATATTCCTCCAAAAATTTATTGCAGGCCAATATGCAATGACTGTCAATGAAGGCGTCGCACTAGGCGTCTGCTTGGTAAAAAAACTGTATGGCCACATTTCTTGGATAGAAAATAGATTGGGCATTAGGGAAATTTTGGAGCAGCTTAACCTTTTTGACTTCTTTTCCATAGGGTGGAATCTCGTGCTCGAGATCGTAATGGAAGACCCATGCGCAAATTCGAGTGTTATCAGCGACCGTATCATGGCATTGATGTGCTATTTGATAATCATGAGACTCTTCGACTTGCATAGTCATTCGTTTAGAACTAGATTTATTCATCTTGTTCAGCTGGGGCTTCTTGGACAATCAATGATGTCATAGTTTAAGTCATTCGTCATTGCGCAGAAATTACAACCCAGAATTCCTAATCCCCTTTCATCACAATGGTAATGGCTGCATATGTACGAGAAAATCAGCCGCTTTATCAATGCCAATCATATTCCATAATTCAGAACTACGCGATAATACTTCGGCTGCTAGAGCGTACGGTGGTTTGACGCTTAGAATAAACAATATTTCCGTTACAGATAGTCTTAGCTTGGAAATGAAGCACGATGAGACTATCTAGCATTTTAAAGCACGACCCCCGGACGTGGAGAGGAAAACTTAAGGCCCCAAATTGCGCAGCTAGATTTAGGAACGACAAAAATTGATGCAGTCACAAGAAGGCTAAGAAGATAGTGGAACGCTGGATCAAGACGCTACAGCTGTTGTGGAAACATCGGCTGATAGATAGGTGTCACATTTCGAAATAGACATAGCAAAGAGTCTGCGGATTTTCCACGGCAAACTCTATCACCCGACTAACGCCCATGCCTATCAATGCGTCAACATAACCTAGCCCGGATGGCATCTTACTATTTTAACCACGGGTAAAACCCACACAATCTACCATGTCAAATCAAAAGAGGCTATCTACTAATCATAATTCGAAGGCTGTCTATTGTGAGCCGCCTATTCCCCAAAGTTAGTTGGAACCTTGCGTTGGGGTCATCCGCAATACTGGCCATCACATAGTTTTATTAAAGCCGTTGAGAAAGGAAATCTGTCCTCAGTCATATTGATGATTCCGTTCCAGTAGTCCCTGATGTCTATCCTAAGCAAAACCAATAATGTCGCCCGTTGTTGGCTGTCCCATTTCAAAAGAGTAATCAGACGTTTTGCCAACAGGGTTGAATCAATAATACTATACAACGCCCGGGCCCACTCACCCTGCCATTGAAGGTACAGTTATTGACGGATAAAGTCCACTCGCTGCCCCTCTCGATTTGCAGCTAAATAATGAAAACTGGTCACACCGAGCTGATGTCTCTTGGCCTTTGGTTTGGCAGCAACACTATCCAGAATTAGTCTGGCCCTCTCTAAAATCATTTGACTCGCAACTAATTGTTAAATGCATGAATTTCTTTCAATGCAGGAGAGAGCTGATTTAATGTTGGGAGTAAAAGTTGGTAAGGTGTCAAGCAGGGCACAGTATTGTTCGGTACAGCTGAAAAAAGGTGGTCGGGGGTTATGCGAACAATAACCGGCCTCTATCCAAGATGCCAATTGCCCAAGTGTGCAAGTAGGCCCTGAATCCCTCTACTATCAAGGTCTTTGCTACCATGCTCAAAGTTCATAAGCCATCCTTCTATGATCTAATCTTATGTGGTAAAGCTCGTGCGTCTTTATTACTACGAGATTGTTCTGTTCGCATGAGTAGGGTCGAACGGCGTCTTTGCGTTGAAACCAGTGGAGCAATTCTAATTCATATGTTTGAAGAATCGCTGAATGGAATCTTCTAGAAATAATTTCAAGGTCGTGAACTCGTGAGGCTCACAAGGAATTTCCTGAGAGTGTGCTTTATTTTAAATAATCGAATATGTAGCCAAATCTCTAGCCATGGCGGGGGACTATTCTCAACACCTGTCAGTGGTATCCTCTACGAACCTACAGCTCTCACTGTAGAGGCTGTAGAGCCGAGATTGAGTGACAAAGTCCTCACTTCGATGGGAATTCCCAATCGCTTTCGCGGTCTGTATCGTCTTCATCCCTCAACGCATTCCCCTATCACCATTATCATGAAGCTAACCAAGACCAGATCATATAGTAAGGTCGAAGCTCTTCTCATCATCAACCCTTGATCATGGAGGAGAAGCCATCCGATGAGTTTCCGGAGCGTACCCAGCACCCGATACGGCGATGGTGGATGGGATCAAGTTGGCCTCGAATATTACAAAGAAGGCAAATACAGATGAATATGCGCACCTCATGTGGCTTCGATGTCTAGGCCTCGCCTGGCTGGAGCTGCAGGTTTTTTGAGACTTTCTTCCGACCACGCAGTTTCCATTGCTACCATTTTTATGTATTTTTTTGGGTAGAAGGTTCCATGGAAAAGGTGGCTGAATTCGACGGGTAAATACTGAGCTGAATGGCTGATCACCATGGGCAATATATCAATGATGTTTCAAGTAACATGAGAGGCAAGGAGCACTGTACAAGGTGTGGCCTGGGTCAGAGAAGAGCCTAATATGCTAGATAGTCTATCACCCAAGTAGTACAATAAACACTCAATCACTAAGCGGACCCTGAGACCAGCATTATACATGGGCCACCTATAGTGAATGGCAGTAGTTTGTGCACTGGATCCCTTAACATCAAGTTTATTATTGGACTTAAAGTTGGTTCTACAGAATTGATCCCATGGTCCAGTGTCTCATGGGGGCAACATTGACAGGTGTTGATTATTCGTACCCCATGGATAACGGAGTTATGCTTGGATGGCCAAAGGTTTTGAAACTTTCGTTTGGTGCGTATGCACGGACGAGGTTCAACTTATATGTGTTAATGAGTGTACCTCATAGCAAAAATTGCGAATGAAATCTCAATCCTGAAAGTCTGAGGTCAAAGAGTAGTTTTAGACCTTCACGAAGCACCGATCATGTGTTATGGCTAGAGAGAGAGAGAGGTTCGTTTATTGTACTGCTTGAAGCGTAGATCATTTAGCATATTGGGCTCCTCTCTGACCCAGGCCACACCTTGTACAGTGCTCCTTGCCTCTCATGTTACTTGAAACATCATTGATATATTGCCCATGGTGATCAGCCATTCAGCTCAGTATTTACCCGTCGAATTCAGCCACCTTTTCCATGGAACCTTCTACCCAAAAAAATACATAAAAATGGTAGCAATGGAAACTGCGTGGTCGGAAGAAAGTCTCAAAAAACCTGCAGCTCCAGCCAGGCGAGGCCTAGACATCGAAGCCACATGAGGTGCGCATATTCATCTGTATTTGCCTTCTTTGTAATATTCGAGGCCAACTTGATCCCATCCACCATCGCCGTATCGGGTGCTGGGTACGCTCCGGAAACTCATCGGATGGCTTCTCCTCCATGATCAAGGGTTGATGATGAGAAGAGCTTCGACCTTACTATATGATCTGGTCTTGGTTAGCTTCATGATAATGGTGATAGGGGAATGCGTTGAGGGATGAAGACGATACAGACCGCGAAAGCGATTGGGAATTCCCATCGAAGTGAGGACTTTGTCACTCAATCTCGGCTCTACAGACTCTACAGTGAGAGCTGGAGGTTCTTTTTTTTGAAATCATTTAATGTGTATGCAGCTATGAAGCTATGACACATGACCGGTGCTATATATACATGTGGGATGACTCTTTTGAAGTTAGAGACACTCATACTCTGGATTTCATTTGCAAATACCACTATGAGGTATGCTTGCTTACACATACAGTCGATTCTCCTCCGTAAGTACCCACCAAAGGGAAATTCAAAACCTTTGGTTATCCAAGCATGCCTTCGTCATCCATGCATACCAGCGCCGCGAGAAATGTAGCTCAGTATTGCCGGATTCGAAGCAACAGTCTCCTATCTTAAGTGGGATATGTGTCCGAGCTATCCAGACTCTACTTGGAAGAAAGGCCATGGCGATCTACCACCGCACCATCCAGCCATGGCGGTGTTTTGAGTGTCGCCTGCACCCTCTCGACAGAGGCCTTAGCACGGACAAAGCTCAATTTGTAAAATCTCGCCAAAATTCGAGATTTCACGCCCGTCAATTTATTTGTTTATTCATTTACGTACTATTTGAATTCCCAAACATGTAGGACAGACTATTTTAAATACAAC